TTTTTTTGTGATTTTCTTTTAATTTTTCAGATTTTGGAGAATCTAGAAATTTATATGTATGTTCATTTTGTTTGATATTTAGTACATTCTAATTTTTTTATTTTGTATTTTATTTGGCTAAAGCAATATAATTTTATGAATACATACTATATAAAATTGTGCGACGAATACATCACAAGAAGGGGAATACAAAATTATTGGTATTCATTCTGCGTTTGATATACAAAATGATATTGAAATACAACCTGATATTTGAAATACAAACTTAGTAAGACATATTTTGTATTTTATTTGGCTAAAGCAATATAATTTTATGAATACATACTATATAAAATTGTGCGACGAATACATCACAAGAAGGGGAATACAAAATTATTGGTATTCATTCTGCGTTTGATATACAAAATGATATTGAAATACAACCTGATATTTGAAATACAAACTTAGTAAGACATATTTTGTATTTTATTTGGCTAAAGCAATATAATTTTATGAATACATACTATATAAAATTGTGCGACGAATACATCACAAGAAGGGGAATACAAAATTATTGGTATTCATTCTGCGTTTGATATACAAAATGATATTGAAATACAACCTGATATTTGAAATACAAACTTAGTAAGACATATTTTGTATTTTATTTGGCTAAAGCAATATAATTTTATGAATACATACTATATAAAATTGTGCGACGAATACATCACAAGAAGGGGAATACAAAATTATTGGTATTCATTCTGCGTTTGATATACAAAATGATATTGAAATACAACCTGATATTTGAAATAAAAACTAAGCTAGAAAATACTTTCTGCAAATTTAAAGTGAAATAATAATATAACAAAATTGGATATTGAAATATAAATACAATTTATTTTGAATAAACTTATTCTATGTATTATATATGTATTCATCGCAACTGTATTTCAATATCATTTTGATCTACAACTAATTTGTATTTATATTTTGGTATATACTACACAACTGCCTTTATTTTTGTACTTGAACTAGAATGCTGAAGAGTTGTATTCATCATAAATCAATACCAACATTTTTTGTATTTTAAATTAGTTATACATATCATTAGGTATTCGAATACATTTCGGATGAACACATATTCAAAGAAGTTCAAACATTTAAATATCCAAAACAGAGGGCATTAGAAATTTTCCAACACTTCCACTCATATAAGATATAAAATACAAACTATTGTTTTCAAAAAAAAATTTGAAATTCTTAAGAACAAAGAAAAAAATACTAGAAAGAAAAATGGCAACATATGCTCTTTCAAAAACGTAACTGATGTTAAATTTTAATTTTTTTTACCTTTTTTGAAATTTTTTGTTCCATGATTTTCTCTATTCAGTTATTAATTATTTGTATTCTTTCAAATTAATCAAAATAAAATAAATACATAACTCAATCCTTAACAAATTAAAATATTGACATTTTAAATAAATAGTGAAACTATTGCTAAGGAATCCCATTAAAAGCTAAAATATTGTTGTTTTGAAAATTTTCCCTTTTAAATTTTGCCCCATAATATTTATTGTATAAATTATAGGAACCACCTATTATAAGTACTAAATAACACTCTATCCCTTCTAGTTTTCTATTTATCAAAAATCCCTTAAAAATGATGTTTGCGGGATACATAGCGTTGTGCACGGAATACATTAGGTTTGATACATTCCACATAGCGGAATACATAGCGTTGTGCACGGAATACATTAGGTTTGATACATTCACATAGCGGGATACATAGCGTTGTGCACGGGATACATTAGGTTTGATACATTCACATAGCGGGATACATAGCGTTGTGCACGGGATACATTAGGTTTGATACATTCACATAGCGGGATACATAGCGTTGTGCACGGAATACATTAGGTTTGATACATTCACATAGCGGGATACATAGCGTTGTGCACGGGATACAAATCGTTTGATACATTTCACATAGTGGGATACATAGCATTGTGCACGGGATACATGCGGGATACATAGGTAAATAAGGGATTTTTGAAAATTTTGAAATAAGTAGGGATAAATGGATATTAAGATAAGTAAAGGAGTGTAGTTAAGTAATTTGTCCATATTTATTTGATGCAAAACTGTGGATTAAATCCTTCAGAAAAATTACGTGGATAAGCAAAAAAATATACTAGTTAATTAGTTACAGTTCGCAGCTTAATTTTAAATGTAATTACGTCGTTTATACACATACAAATACAAATTATACACATATATACAATTATATGACAGATATATAAATACAATTAGCCTCTCTCCTCCCTCTCCCGATCTCGCTCGCCAGATATACAAATACATATGTATACCAGTTACATATATACAATTATTTGACAGATATACATTTACAATTTGACTGATAATACATATACAATTCACCTCTCTCCACTCTCTACCCTCTCTCCTCCCTCTCCCAATCTCGCTCGCCTCTCTCCTCACTCTAACATGTACCTACGAATCGTAATTAGCAAACTATTGCTATAGAGCATAATTAAGTTATTTTTGAGTGGCTATTTGTGAAAATTCTCCAATCCTTAACTATGATCTAATTTCACGGAAAGAACTTTTAATAGAACATTTTTTTTGGGGGGGAGGGGGCATAAGTTTTATACTCCCTCTGTCCCTAATTACCTGTCCACTTTTCATTTTTTTGTTGTCCCTAATTACTTGTTCCTTCTGACAAATCAAGAAAAAAAAATATTTGTTTTACCTATTATACCCTTAATTAATTACTTTGAAAAAGGTAGAACTTCTTGAAAATTTTAAGTTTTAATCCACTTCATAATTAATAAGGGTAAAATGGTAAACTCACTATGTCAATCATTGTTTTTTTAATATGTGTGTTAATTCAAAAGTAGACAAGTAATTAAAGATAAATGGAGTGATAGTATTTAATTCGCAGGACAAGACTTTTAGAGTACTTTTGTCATTATGACATAACTTGTACAATTTTGAGATATAACTTGTGTTATTGAACTTATGTCTTATGTCACTAAACTTACATCTTGGACATAACTTAGATCACCAAACTTATGTCTTGGTTTGTTTTGCCATAACTTTTATGCCTTGGGATATAATTTGTGTTTTGACTTAATTTTTTTTTTGACTTAGGATATAATTTATGTCACTGAACTTATATTCGGAGTATAACTTATCATTTAACTTATGTCGGGACATAATGTACTACAATTCATTGACTCGTATAATCCATTGTGGATATAATAGTCTTGCATGATTTAATTGATGTTGCTAAATCCTCGAATTGTTGACCTGTGCTTAGAGAGATTAAGGTTAAATTTAGAATTTCTCCACTATTTACTAAAGTTTAATTGAAGAATTTAACTTATATATATGAATTGTGAGATAATAATAATCATAAAAATTTACTTATAACTCTTTTATAATAGAAATATCTAGCGTATGAGATTGTTATATTTTTAATTGGAGGTTTCAGGTTTGATTATTGGGTATGAAGTATGTTGGGAGCGTCGCTCCCAAATGAGACATGAAGTGCGCGGCTCGAATTCAATCGAGACTCTAATGCTAACTTTGAATGGAAACCAAAAATAATAATTTAGTGCATAGAATTTAAATTCTAATTATATGTTATTTATAACATGTTTGATCTACTTCTTTTGAAAAAGAAAAGAAATATTTTTAAAGAATAACATTTTATGTTTGGCTAATTAATTTGAAGCATATAACTTGTGCTTGATTTATTGGTCCCAAATTAAAAGTTTTTTTTTTTACCCTCCCTAGGAGCTCCCACCCCTTTTGCTCCCTTGGTGACTCGAACTCGCAACCTTCGAATTGAAAGTGAGGGGTGCTTACCATCCGAGCAATTATTGATACCGACGTAATTGTCGTTTTCTTATAATTATTTGTTATTTAGTGAAATTGTGATATATTATAGAATAAAACTAGTTTTGTCTCAATACTATGATCCAAGTAAATTATTGGTAATCAAACCCAGCAGACACATGGCGATACGTGACCCATAACCTTTTACTGACGTAATATTTACTCCGTTCACTTTGAGTTGTCAAGGTTTTTTTCTAGAATTAAATAATAATAATTTTGACTAATATTTTACGATGTATTTTTCATCATATTGACATGCAAAAAAAATGCAATTTATAATCTTTTCGTATAATTTTTGAATATCTATTTTTTTAAAATATTGAATTAATGTAATTTAATTTAACTTTGAAAATTAGTCAAATTAACTTTCAAAAAGTGTAACATGACAACTAAAAATGGACGGAGAAAATAATACTTTTAAGCTATCAATATTTTATTTTTATTTTCTACCAATAATATTATCAATTATATATATAGAGCAATACATTATTTT